ATCGAACTCATGTCTCAATGCAATCACTTCGGATTCTCGAAGTGGTGACAACCACTTCGACCGTTCCTTCGGCTCATGGGTCCGATGGGCTTCATTCTTTATGGGCCATTATCTTGACTACGTGGCAATCTTTGGTTGGTCTCGTACTTCTGGTGCGGGATCCGACACCAACAAAAGTGGTCGTATATTTGGTAATTAAAGGTCATAGATTATCTTCATTCTTCTTTGGAAAAAATAAACAGAGACAAAATCATCTTCAATCTCCCATATCTTAACATTTTCTTCTCCTAGAGTTTTCGATTATGAGATTACACCATATAATTGAAAAATTGTGGTGACGATCAAGTAAATAAGCAGAGAGAAAGAGAGATCGAGATCGTCAGCAAAAGCCGCCGCCATATTTTGACCCTTAACCGTCGCCGCCTCCCGCCTAACCGTCCGCCAGGTATTGCAGCACCGGAGATGTCGTCGATCAATCAGACTGATGAAATAGAGGACATTATGGCTTGCGTAACGGCTTTGGAAGCTGCTCTGTTGCCATGTTTACCCGCTGGAGAGCTTCAAGTCATCGACGGCTCTTGTCATCCTTTATAGAGATCTGATGATTTGTGGATTGGTAAACGCAAATTGCGTATACTCTGATGACTTTTCTACATTCATTGACAGGCTATATATAGAGATACTTGATGTCAAGGTTAGGTGTGATTGCGAATCTAGAGAAAATTGGTAAGCAAGCATAAAATCTCCGAAATATCAATTATATTAAGTAATACAAATGATTTACTATTTAGATAAGGAATATGCTACTAATAAGGAGTGTTAGTGTAGTAATTATTTATTATATCCTTTATTTTCTCGATCTCTATAGCTAGCAAATGGAGAAAATCTTGATTGAATTTAGATTACATGTATTTTGATTAGAATTAAAATAAAAGATTTAGTATTTAGATAAGGAATATGCTACTAAGAAAGAATGTTAGTGTACTTATTAGTTTCTATGCCCAATATTTTCAAGATCACGTTCGCTATTAGGAATATTTTTGAGGGAGTTCAGTTGGGATTCACAACTAATAATCGAGATTTACAAACTAATTAATGTCGATTTTGATTTAATGTTGTAAGAGGAAATTTCGGAAATATCCGAAATTGAAACCGGGTCACTCGTTTTTTTTAAAAAAACCCACCCAACCAATGACATTCTTTGTAAATACATTCCAACTCCAGGATTTATTTGCTAAAAGTCATCCAAAAATGTATATATAGATTACATATAATTATCTAAGAAGTAATCTTCAATTAATGCTAAATTTTAAATAAAGATTACCTAAATAATAATAACACAAGTGTAACATATATACATATAAAACACTTAAAATTAAAATTTTCATAATATATAACTTAAAATAAACATAATCCCTAAATATATAATTAAGAAATAAAAAAATAATAATGAAAATTTCATAGTAATACCAATGTTATTAAATATGGACAAACAAATAACAAAAAATTAATAACTTATTAAAAATCTATATATATATATATATGGACAAACAAATAACAAAAAATTAATAACTTATTAAAAATCTCTCTCTCTCTCTCTCTCTCTCTCTCTCTATATATATATATATATATATATAATGGGAGAGTTTTCTCTCCTCTTAGGGTCTCTACATCATCACCAAATTAATATGATGGATCCCACCAATAATTATTTCAAAATATTTAATTTTATAGTTAATTACATATAATTATCTAAGAAGTAATCTTCAATTAATGCACAATTTTAAATAAAGATTACTTGAATATTAACAACACAAGTGTAACACATATACATATAAAACACTTAAAATTAAATTTTTCTTAATATATAACTTAAAATAAACATAATCCCTAAATATATAATTAAGAAATAAAAAATAATAAATAAAATTTCATAGTAATACCAATGTTATTTAAGATGGACAAACAAATAACAAAAAAATAATAACTTATTAAAAATAAAAAAATAAAAAGTTTAAAAACTATCGATAAGGAAACCTTAAATATAATTTAGGATGAATAAGAGAATTGAATTGAAATGGAAGGGTATAAGAGTTATTTTTGTAGTAACAAGAAGATATTCATATTTCCTGAAAACATTAACTTAAAAAGATGATAATAAAGTAGAAGTAATCTATTTAAGATAATATTATTGTTTAGATAAAAAAAATAAATGGTTAAATGTTATAGTAAATGTATGATAGTATAAGTTTTTTAACGTAGAAGAAATAATTCATGTTTAAACTTGGAAATTATATTTCAAGAGAGTAAAAGTATAAATTCACATTGACGAAAAAAAAAGAAAGATTAATTGTATCTTAATATTAAAATGTAATAAAATTTAACAATAAAAATAATACAATTATATCTATATTATTATTTGCTTTCTAAATAAAAAAAGGTAAAAATATTTACATATAGGTAAAATTATAAATAAGTGTTGAGAAAATTTTCACATATATATCTTCCGTAAAATTATATTACGCTGAAGCATGAAAATCATATAATTAGTAAGAGAAAATAGACTAAGAATATGAAAATGAGAAATTAGTTTTGAGTTAAGAATGAATTCAAAGTTTTATTATATGTAGGTGAGCATAGAAGATAAAAAATGAGTAGAAATTGGGAGACGAACAAGTGCATCATAGAAGATGACGAAAAACTGATAGAGAAAAAATGTTTGAAGAGAAATTGACCAATGTTTGAAACATCGGATATATGTATATACATGACTAAAGTAAATTCATTCAATATATGTATATACTATCAGATAGTTTGGTTTAGTAAATCAGACTATCATATTCAACATCGGATTAAACCGTTGAGGCATATGATTAAGCGTTGTATGATAGATAAGATAAGGACATTCATGATTTAGTTAAAACTTTTCTTAATGCATGATTGTCTTGCTTCAATAGGTAAATTGTGCTCTTCAAACTTATTGAAGCGGCATGAATATTACGTTTATACATTTTCATAAATTGATGTTCAAATTCAGTAAATTTACTTTTAGTTTGGGGTAAGATTAGGTCAAAACTTCGAGACAAATATACTTATAAGATCTGTTTATGGAATAAAGTCTCTTTTTGACAAAAGTTCATGGATGGCTACTTGAGTCCGAGTCATCTTATATTACTTTTGTTAATACGTGGTACATACCAAATATTTTTGATAATTTCTATGTTGTATATTGTTATGAATTTATATAGTTTTGAAATTTAAATGATTATGATTATTTTTAACATTTTGTATTGTGGCCGGTTTAATTTGATATCCCGCGCAACTCTCGTCGAGTAAATCTAGTGTAATTAATTAGGAATTCATATACACATGTATAAAAGAAAAATCATATTTTTAACCTTCAAAATATTACCGGTAGCACTTTAAACTTCGAAAGAATTCCACTAACATCATAAACCACCAAGATAATTTTACTAACACTTTAAACCTCCAAACTAGCTTTCATGTTTGCACCGCCATAAAAGATGATAGAACATTAAATTTAAATTTAAATTTATTTTATTATTTATTATAATTTTACGATTAATAAAAAAAGTGCAAATTTTTTATTAAGTTCACTATATCCACCGGAGAGAGTGAAAACCGAAAACGCTTCTGGATCAATCTCTCAATTGATTCTCCGATATGGATAATGTTTTATTTTTCGGCTAAGCTTTGATATTCCTTGTTTTTTGTTATTCTAATTTAAACTTTTCTTGTACCTTAGATTCGACATTATTTGATTTCTATTCTTCTACTTTAAACTTCTCTTGTGCTTCAGTCTCTAGTTTCAGAGGTTTATCAAGAAATTTCATGGTCAGACGGTGAATAAACAAAGAAGATGAAGTTTTTTTTAAAAAAGATTTTTATTAATTGTAATAAATAATAAAATTAATTTAGATTTAAATTAAATTAAATAAATTTATATTAAACATACAGAAATTAATTGTTCCGTCATTTTTATGACGATACAAACAAAAAAGTTAGTTTAGAGGTACAAAGTGTTAGTAAAATTATTATGGTGGTTTATAGTGTTAGTGAAATTCTTTCGAGATTTAAAGCGTTACCCAGTGACATTTTGAAAGTTAAGAATGTAATTTTTTCCATGTATAAATATCAGATAGTAGAAAAATGGTTTGATATTTAATGGGTTGAGAGCCCATCCTCAAGCTCTTTATTGTATAACTGAATCAGACCTGTGGTATCTTGATGTGGGAGATCATCATCAAGAGAAAGAACTTATGAAACAAAAGAATGAAAGAGAGAATTGTTTTTGTTTATGGACAAAAAAAAAGTCCAAAATAGATCAAATTTGCTATTTTGTTATTGAAAATATAATATGAAAAGAGGTTATTTAATCATATAAGTTTTTACAAGAAGTTATTTATTCAAATTTTCAATAATTAAAAAATGTAGAAAGCTGAAATGCTAGTGAAGAAAAGAAGAAGCTGATTATGCTCAAAGTTTACTTGCTGTGTTTCTTTGATTAGCACAAGATTGCATTATGGAATACACACATACGTTTAGTGGTAAACATACTGACTTTACTTTGAGATATAACTAGTGATTATTCCCACGTACGTTGATTCTTCGCCAAAAAGAAAAATCCTGTGATAAAATAGTTGGAAGTGACAAAATTTGACATTTTATATATTATAAAAAATAATATCGAATTGACTAAAATCTTGTTACTTAAATCCCCAAAAACATTTAATGGTAAACATACTGACTTTACTTTGAGGAATAATGATTTAAAATGTGTATAATGATTTCAAACCCAAATTGAATAAACAAAAAGATGGTAAATGAGATTCCAGTCCAAACTCTCAATTTCTTTAGAAAACATATGGTACAATAATTCATATACCTACTTGTAAATATTAGCATTGTATTAAATAGCAGAAATAATACAAGACATGTGAATAAAAACAAAGTAATTTATTGATGTAAGAAGAAATACATAAAAAGAACAAAGTAATTTATTCTCACCAAAAATAATTAAACAAGAAAATAATACTCTTGGTGAATAATTCACCTTAATGACTCAGATCAGGTTTTACATAAACTAAACATTAGTATTAATAATCTTCAGTATTAGGCTTTTTTTTACTTATATTAACAAACATCACAGAAGTTCATCAAGAAATGACTTCCCTTTATATTTCTCGACCTTAAATCCCATCTCCTCCATCCGCAACCGCTCTGTCTCGAGCTCAGCCAGCTCTGCTTTCATCTCCTCGACCCTCAACCTCGCTTCCGCTACTTCCTTCTCAATCCGAGCCAAATCAGCTTCTTGAATCTCCATTTCTTGTTTCTTAAACCTCACCAATCCTTCTTGCCTCTCTTTCTCTGAGTCTGTGTTCTCTTGATACTGAGCAAACTCCTCAAGAACCGAACGCATCCAGCCAACATCGATGTTCACAGACTCCAAATCCTTGAGAACCGCGACCACCTCTTTTACTTTTAGTTCGGTCAACTGCCCGACCGGAGTTGATCCAAGTTCTTGCATCAATGAGCATAGGCACTCTAGGTATCGGGATCGCATTGATGCTGATTCTAGCTTGCAGTTTGCAGCTATGTCTCCGTGTTTGTCGATGATTGACTGTAAGATTGTGGAAACACTTGAGTTCACACGGTATTTTCCAACAGAAACACACGAGTCCGACATTACTGATATAAGGTCTAGCTCCACTCCCTCCTCATAATCATTGTTTTCATCATCATCATCATCATCATTGGCGCATGACCTTGGAGGGCTTACAACATTAAACACACTAATCTCACTGGCTGTTTCATTCTTGCCACTGTGGTCATGCCCTCGAGGTCGTGGTGATACAGGTTTGCCACCATCAGCCTGAACAATAATGAAACAAAACAGAACATTTTAAGATCACACTCTCTGCTTGAAGATCATACATAAAAACCAAGACTCTACGGGTCTCTAACACCTACGTAGATGTTAAGTGAGAGAGGGTAATTAAGAAATACCATTCTGTTTGGGGATAGAGGAACAGTTCTTGATGGCTTCTCTGCCTTATGGTTGAACGAATCATGCTGACCGTTGATGTCAATAGAGATTTCATCAGGTGATAGAGAGGGGAACGATTTGTTCGCTTCTGGAACCGTCGTCTTCTTGACAGCTACTGGTGAAGGTCTTGATTGATGAATCTTTGGGGAATTAGCAGCACCGTTCTGATAGTTCCTTGTACTCAGAGGTGACAGTGGCTGTGACTCCGTCTTTTTCTTACCAAAACTCCCAGGGAGGCTAAGAATCTTTGCACCTGTAATAAACAAATCAAGAATGAGAAAAGAAAGGAAAACAACTTTGCAGATCCATTGAAAGCTAAAGCCTTGATCAAATTACAAACAACCCTCCAAGAATTATCCTTGAAGCAATACACAAAGAAAGACAAAGACAGATTTTATCCATCACAACAGAAGCATACTCAGAGATTAACGGATCAAACATAGTGAAAGTACCTTGCTTCTTTGAATGCTTATTTCCACGGCCTTGAGAGATCTTCTCTAAACAATCTGAAGCACATTCATGGAAAGGATTCGAAGAATATCGACAATCCGGGTGAGCTTTCCGGTTGACATCCATAGCTTAAATCAATATCTAGATTCAATCAGAAGCAAAGAACTGCAAACAACACAACACAAACAAGAAGCCTATCAGCATAAAAAGAACCAAGCTCATCAAGAACTAACAAATGTGGCTTCTCGAGTTGAATAAAGTCACTTCAAGGTATGTCATAAAGGTCAAGACTTTAGAACCTCAAATCAATATTTTTCAAAAGGGTTACAAAAATCAAACACTAGCATATAATTCAACAACTCCAATCTGGGTTTTCCACCAAAAGAGAGAGAGAAAAAGAAGACAACTTTACCAAAACATATACATAAAGAAACTTTAAAACTTTGGTACCAAAACGATCCCACAATAATAACTCGGATCAAACAAAAAAAAAATCAAAACTTTATTATGAAACATCGTTTTCTTCATTGAATTTATTGAGAAATAAAAGCAGACCCACAAAAATCTCTTTAACTATAAGAATAAAGCACCGATTTTTACGATCAAAGCTTTAAACTTTCTTTCACACACAAGAGAAAGAGAGAGTTACCGGGAAAATGGTAATGGTGAAGAAAGGTCTTGAGCAGAGAAGATGGAAGTAAAAAGAGATTTTGTAGAGGAAGTATATAAGAACTAAGAAGAAGAAGAAGAAGAAGAGGTTTTGATCTGACTTTGCATACATTTGATTTGACCAAAAGCTTTTAAAAATTGAAGAGAATCGTTGAAGATTCGACGAGACTGACTATTAAATTAAACAATAAATGGGCATGAGAATGAAGGTAGAAGTTGTAATCAATCAAAGGCTTCGAGAAGTTGACAACAAGGAAGCTGAGACGAGAAAAGGGAACAAAAGAAAAGCTGATCCTCTCCTCATAGTTCACACCTACTAATTTAGTCACGTGTGGGGACCTAATAGCTTCTAATTTCATTTTACTTTCTCTTTGGTTTAAGCTTTTTATTTAGTAAAAAATGCGAATTTAATATCTAGTTAGGTGTTAATGGGCATCAGTCGTTCTCACCGTGCATCTGGAAGTATGTTTAAGATTTCTTTGATTCTTGGTTTTGAGAGAACGGTTATCATCGGCTTAATAGGGGGAAGTAGATGTTATCGTTAGGTTAGTGGTAGACATTTTTGGTAAATCTCGTTCGTAGGTTCTTTGTAAATTGGGGATGTTTTGTTATGTAAAAGGTTAGTTTTTTTTTTTCCAGGTTTAAACCATTTTGCTTATGTTGTTACTTTAAGATTTCAATCTTTTTCGATTTTGGTTTTAAAATTTATGTTTTGTAATTTTAGTGTCTATCGTTTTTTTTTTGCATTAGGAATACATTTCGGAAAATCATGTGTGTTCTGGCGGTGTTTCTAAATTTTTTTACTCTTTTACTGGCTTAGTTTCCTTTGTTTGGGTCATTGAATTCTTTGTTTGATTCCACAACAAACTTTAATAGTAAAAATCAGATGACAAAAAAAAATTACAGTTGGGTGGAATAAATTTTGCATGATAATGTGTGAAAGATGAAAAGAAAAAACAATATGCAATATGGTACACATATTTGAATGTGAAAATTATAATAAAGTAATAAACAATACTTGAAATATATTGTAAATACAAATGTTAACCTCTATATATATTGTATCTTATTGCCAAGCAGAGTTAACCTCCAAGTTAACAATTGCTATTTCAAATTACCGGTAGAGTTCCAATGGGAGAAATCGTGGTCACTATGGGATAGCATGGGAGAAAATGTGTAAGGTTAGAGAAGAACGAGGTTATTGAGGTAACTTGGGAAGCAAGACATATCTTGCGGACCAAGTATGTGAATCATCAAGTCTGCGAAGCCCGTGAAGCCGAAGTCGAAGAATATTTTAGATATCTTATTGTGATAAAGATTAAGAGATTTAGAATATTTACTTATTCATGTTTACATATTTCCTATTCTAATTAGGTTAAACATAAGTTAGCCTCTATATATACTTATATTATGTACCCGCGCGTTGCGCGGGATTTTAGTTTTAATTTTTTTTTATCAATGCGAATCTTTGAATATAAATCTAATCAATTAAATTTTACTTTTTTACTTTATTTTTTTTCTTCCAATTTTACTTTATTTGTTTTCTTCCAATTTTACTTTATTCAGTGCATTATCATTCCAAAGTAGTAAAAACATTCTCTCACTTTACACTACAATTTTTCTCGTTATCTTCTATGATATACTCATCGTCTTCCGACATCGACTCTTTTTTCACCTTATATTGTCTCACATAGAATATACTCAATTGTGAATTAGTTCTCAAGATAGATTGTATATCTTTTCTCCTTCCTATCTTTGAATACTCAATTCTATTTTAAACGTTGCATGATCTTTTTACTAAAGTAACCATCAGAAAATCTGAGAAAATATTTTGTCATAAGGTTTCTTTAGCCATGTTTTGGTGCATGTAAAATTGTTTTATAAAAAACATATTACATATATAAACTCATTCTTATATATTCACAAACATCGGATTTTAATATCAAATTTTTTCACTTTATCTTGACTGTTTGAAAAATACAAAATTCTCTTTTCTAAAATATGTAAATTAAGAAATCATAAAAATTATTCTAGTTTTTAAATACGTTTATTTTTTATAACAAAATCATTGTTATTTTTAGTTTCTAAATAGCATTCTCAAATATTATTATTAGAAAGTTTTATTATTCGAGTAGATTATTTTATTTTTATTTGTGATGTTTAGGATAGTTTTTTGTTTTGTTTCAAATCAGCTTCATTTTTCTCAATCTATGTTAATTTTCTAAACACTGATTAATAATTAGTTTTTCTTTCTTAGGTATTCATTTTTTTATATAAAAAATGTTCACTTTTTAATTGAGAAAACATTAATAATATATACAAATTTATTAATTTAACTATTTATACTATTTATAATTAGAAATTATAATATGTATCCATTCCTTCTTATTTTTAATTGGTATCATGAATTAATACTTTAAACTTAACAAATATATTCTCAAATTCTAAATGTGTATTTTTTAAAAATGAAGTACTTTTTTTAGTTAGGACCTTTAAATTTGGTATTTTCTTAACTCATATTTTTTAATTCAACTAAATAATTATAACTCTTAAAAGTGATTGTTTTATAGTCCTGGACGTTTGTTATCCAATCGGCTTCGGTTCGGTTCCATTCGGTTCTGGTCATTTTGGTTCTAGAGTTTAGTATCTATTCGGGTATTTTGAAATTTTGGTTCGGTTTCGGTTCGGTTCCGGTTCTTTCAGTTTTAAAATTTACTATACATTCGAGTATTTTGCTTCGGATATTTTGGATATTTTAGTTATTTTTGAATATTTTGGATACTTTTCGGTTATTTCTAGTATTTTTATATAGTTTGAGGTATTTTTGATTATTTAGTCTATAAAAAACTAATATTTTTAGATATATAATTATATTTTGGGTACCCGGAATATTTTGGATCGGTACCGATTCGGTTCCGGTTCTTACGGTTATGGAATTTAGTATCCATTCGGATATTTTCAAATTTTCGGTTCGGTTTGGTTCTTTTTGCTCCGTTTCCGGTTCGTTACATTCGAGTCGGTTAATTTGTCCAGGAATTGTAGTTTGTTTTTTCGTCTTCTTCTGCTTTCTTTTCCCCTTCTATTGGCTCACGTTTTCTTTGTACTCGGTGGTGTGCCCGCGCGTTGCGCGGGGTTTGGTTTTAGACTTTGTTCTTTGTGTATCCATCTGTTCCCTTGCCTTTTACTAGTTTTTTCTTTACTTCTTGTGCCTTTTCTTTCCCCCGTCGTCTCTCGTTTCTCACCTTTTTTCAAAAGAAGAAGAAAGAAAAAAAGAAGAGTGGCCTCAAAGATTTATGAACAGACGGGAGCGCACCCGACTGAAACCCCCCTCAATAGAATCTTTGACCAGTGTCGTACTCAAATTTTTAATAAGTTTCATGATCTTTTTATTAAAGTGAACATCAGAAAAGAAATCCGAGGAGATGTTTGTTATAAGGTGTTTTTTTACCATGTTTTGTGCATCTAAAATTGTTTTATAGAAAACAAATCTCATATATGGACTCATTCCTATTAACAAACATAGAAATTCAACGTGAAATTTTGCACTTTATCTTGACCATTTGAAAAATACAAAAATCTCTTTCTACATATATAATTTAACATATATTATGATTTTAGATAGTATTTTTAATGTTTATTTTTATAAAATGTGACACTTACGAACTCATAAAAATTATTCTAATTTTAAAATATATGTATTTTGAAAAACAAAACAAAATCATTTTTATTTCTAGTGAAAAACTCTTCAATCTACCATTACTATATATAGATTTCCAAATAACATTCTCAAATATTATTATTACACAGTTTTATTATTCGATAAGATTATTTTATTTTTATTTGTGATGTTTAGGATAGTTTTTGTTTTATTTCAAATCACCCTTAGATTGCTCAATCGATGTGAATTTCCTAAAAACACTGATTAATATTTAGTTTTTCTTCTTTAGGTATTCACTTTTTTATTTAGAAAACATTTATAATATAGAAAATTTATTAATTTGACTACTTATATTATATTATAATTATAAATAATAATATGTTCTAAATTCTTCTTATTTTTTAATCGGTACTCAAATTTTAAATGTCTATTTTTCAGAAATGAATTGATTTCTATTTTAAGTAAAAATCTTTAAATTTGGTATTTTTAACTCTTATTTCCTTTTCTCTACTAAATAATGGCAACTCTTAAAAAATAAATTTTGTACCATTAAAATATATGATAAGTTTTTTTTTCGTATCTCTAACTATTTTAAAATATTTACTCATTATATGTTAAAATATAATGATCTAATTTATATATATTTAATCTCTATTCAAAAATTTCATATTTTAAGTTGTATATTTATTTTTTTCGTTTTTCATAATATTTCATTTAATTTTGGGAGACTCACAAAAATGCCCCCTTTTTAATACCCTTTTTCAAAAATACCCCATTTGGCTGTCCATTTTTAAAAATACCCCTTTTTATGTACAAAATGACTAAATTACCCTTCTTTTAATAAAAGATATCACAAATATATAAGGAAATATAACAAAATTAGGTCTACAAAATACAAAATATTTTTTGGCGGGAAAAGTGATCCCACAATTTTTCCCGCCAAAACTCTTGTAAAAACTTGTAAAACCTTTAAAATACCTTGTAAAATTTTCTCGTAAAACTTTTTCCCGCCAAAAAATTTTCCCGCCAAAAAATTTTTTTTGCGGGAAAAGTGATTCCGCAATTTTTTTGGCGTTAAACAAAAATTTACAAGGTATTTTAAAGGTTTTTTACAAGGTATTTATAAGGTTTTACAATGTATTTTAAAAGGTTTTACAACGTATTTACAAGGTATTTATAAGATATTATAAGATTTTACAAGCTATTTTATAAGGTTTTTACAAGTTATAAGGTTTTACAAGTTTTTTATAAGGTTTTACAAGTTATAAATACCTTATAAAACCTTATAAGTACCTTGTAAAACCTTTTAAAATACATTGTAAAACCTTACAAAATACTTGTAAATACTCTGTAAAACCTTTAAAATACCTTGTAAATTTTTCCCGCCAAAAATTTTCCCGCCAAAAAAATTTCGCAAAAAAAAATTGCGGAATCACTTTTCCCGCAAAAATTTTTTTGGCGGGAAAATTTTTTGGCGGGAAAAATTTTTACGGGAAAATTTTACAAGGTTTTTTAAAGGCTTTTACAAGTGTTTTGGCAGGAAAATTGCGGGATCACTTTTCCCGCCAAAAAATATTTTGTATTTTGTAGACCTAATTTTGTTTCAAATAAGGGTAAAATGGTCATTAAAAATTAAAAGAGGGCAAACTTAAAAATGGA